TCTCTCCCCCCTCTCCCTCATTCTCTCCCCCCCTCTCCCTCATTCTCTCCCTCGTTCATCTCTCTCTCATCCATCTCATCCTCTCTCATCCTCTCTCTCCCTACCTCTCGTTTTTAACGTTCACTGGTTTCATTGGGCATGATTTATAAAACTTCTGCCCAGCCATACGCTAGCTGAATGCTGTTTGCATGGACTGGACTAGATGGAGCAGAGGAGCATAGGAATGCCCTATACTCCTCAGCCATGAAAACGACATTCAGCCAGCGTATGGCCCGGCAGAAGTTTTATAAATCATCTCCATACCGTCCCCCCATTACTGTCTACTGACAGAGGAGGGGGGAGAAGAAGAGATTGTTGTAGTGACTGAACAAGGAGAATCTGGGACTCTTCTCTGGATTCATGTTTATTACTCACCTGTGCTGATCTCTGGAGGGATTTCCTCCTCCTTACACAGCTCATCGTCCCTCACAGACGTATCTTCTTCATCTTCAACTTTGATGACAATGAGGTTATCCCCCTAAATAAGAAAAACCACACGGACAATAAAGCAATAACCTGAGTTATTAAAGCCCAACTCTGGTCAAAAAAACGTGTTTCGAAACAGGAAGGGCTTAGAACTTCTGTGGGGTTTTTATTGCTGTGATTTCATTGTGAAGATTTCCCCCTTAAGTTCCTATTTCTGTGACACCAGCAGAAGACATGAGGACTGGGGGGTCACTAGGTCAGGAAAACACAGACAGCAATAAAAAAAAAACTTGAGGTTCCAATGTTTCCTGACTTTATCCAATACAAAACATCAAATTATCTCACCTTATAATGGTATGTGATGTTGTGACGAAGGTCTATAGCATCCTGTTGGGTCTTGGAATCTTCCTCTGTGGTATCCCGGGAATACCAAGGATGGGCCTGAGGGATCTCCTGATGTTCCTGTGTGGAATCCCGGGAATACAGAGGACGGGTCTGAGGGATCTCCTGATGTTCCTGTGTGGAATCCCGGGAATACAGAGGACGGGTCTGAGGGATCTCCTGATGTTCCTGTGTGGAATCC